TTCTTCTCTACTAAAATTTAAATAAAAAATATGTACCCGTATTTTTCTGATCCAGAATAAAGACTAATGGAATGTTTTAACTTCTATCGTCTTATTTGGGTCTATTTGTGTATATGGACAGAGCTACTTGAAAAACAATTGTCAAGAAAACGTGCATTTTAATACGATTAACCGGTTAATCGGTCGGAACGTTATGCGGTTAACCGATTAGCAATTCTGTAATCGATTGCCATCCCTAATATATATATATATATATATATATATATATATATATATATATATATATATATATATATATATATATATATATATATATATATATATATATATATATATATATATATATATATATAATGACACAATGAATTAAAGACCGTTTTTTGACATCATAGACAACTGCAATGAAAATGGATTTATTTTATTTGTATTTATTAATATTTTTACCAAATTTTACATTTGTTTTGTTGATAAAGTCTTGTTGAAAAAAATTATATCAAAAATGGAGCTTGTGATTAGTAATCTAAAAGATTACTTTGTTAAAGCAATATGAGCTGCAACTTTGATGTCGGAAAATTTTGTTGCAATATTGTAATTAACTATTTCAATGACAGAAAACAGAACATTTATAAACTTCTGTTGTTCATATTTGCGATGAAAGAACTATTTATAATCTTTGATTGAATCAAAATTACATTATTGTCGTCCTGTACAATATTGATTTCTTATATAATACTAAACATTCCACTGTACAGAAAATCTTTCTTCTGAAAAAAAATTATTACTTTATTTCAGTCTAATTGATCACAAAGGATTAAATTTCTAGCAGATTTATCATAACAACACATTTTTAACAGCAAAATAAAATTCTCAAAAACGCAGTTCATATTGCTATAAGAATTTGTTCTGATTCTAGGTACATAACTTCTATGATGTTGATATTAAAGAGATGCTGGAGTTCCTCATTGATGATATCTACGCAGTCTTTGGAGACATGTCTTCCAACAATATGCTGAAATTTCGATGGACAACATGTACTTCTTTTTTAGTTTACTTGTTTTTATATTCTTATGAAGCAGAATGTATTCATAAATGTCTACATTAGATGAAAAAAAATTTTGTGGCCTTAGTTCAACATTCCTATATACTGACAACGTTTCATCGGGTTTATTCATATGCCGACTCAACCTGATGTACCTGAGTGAATTTGAAGTGAAGGGCAAAACACAGTCTGCAACATCTAGCTGTTTCAAACTGTTTTACTAAACGAAAACCACAATTGCCAACTTACAACTAAACTACAATGTATATGACAAACGGGATGACATCAGCTTTTCATAGTCAACTTACCCCATTTATACAATATTCCACGAACACCTGCGTATGGTGTTTATTCGGTACGTACGCAAGACCATGTTCTGAGTACGATCAATGTTTAAACCGATGTAGGCTAAAGACAAATTAGTTTATGCTAGATGGACTTCAACAACCTCGTTGAAAGTCGGCATTTCCACCGTTTATGGTTCGTTTTAATCTAAAAAAAATTATCCAGTCTTTAAATTAAATCTTAATTTATTAAGCTATTTTTTTATTAACATATCAATCATATGAAATTAAAAAAAGAAACACAAATTTATTTATCTTTTTTTTTTTTTTTTTTTTTTTGTATCTTCATCCATTTATTTCTTTCTTTGCTTTTGTGTTTACGAGTATTTCTATTTATTTATTCACTTTCTTTTTGATTCTGCAATTAGATAACTTTACCTGGTCTGTGAGGTTTGACATCTGTCAACCATTATATAGCAATCATAATAGTTTTAATCTTTTAATAAAATGTAGTTATTTTTCCCTCCTTAGAACTTCAAAATAAGTATTTTAACTTTTCCTTGTTAAATATTCCATAAAATCAAGCCTGGGAAAAATCCATTAAATATAAATGTCAGCAAAGTTATAGCCATAAACTGAAATTATTGGGAATATTAAGAGTATAATATTTTCTTTATTTTAAGATTTATCAAGATTTTTATCAGTAATGCATGATATAAAACAATTTAACGAGTATTACGGTTACTTTAAAATAAAATGTAAAGTCAATCTGATAGGATGACCGCCTATGATTTTATTGTTCTTGACATAAGATAAATGATAAAAACAAAGCAGGAAGTGTTACTGGTATGCGTTATATAAGAAGTACAAGCTTACATATATTGTAAACTAATTTAAAACTCATTGAATGAAGGGCTATTGACCTTTATATGGATTCTAAAAGTAGAAACGTAAACAAAATATTTTATTACAATCAATTTCGAATTTGTTTTAATGTATCTTGAGGTACTTATCTTTCAGGCGTTCTGTAAAATTCAGATATGAAGAGTTGATAGTGTTTCCTGTGTTCTATGACATTCAGATATCAAGATTAATTAATTATTTCAGGCTTTTTTGTTCGCAATTTTTTATTGCAATCTATCATTATAATTACTGGAGATTTATTTTATTTTTTTTTCCAGTGGTATTGATGATACTAAGGTTTAATATGCGTTTCCTGTCTTCAGTAGCTCCATTTTACTTACTTGATTCATGTTTTGGTTGTAACAGTCATCCTGATACTTTCATCCTTACAAACTACTTCCTTGTTTGTTCTAATACATTTCTATCAATCTTTGTCTCGGAAACTTTTTTCAGTCCAATTTGTCTGTAGAAAGTTCCAATGAAATATAGTCGTATTGCTCTTTAGCTCACCTGAGCCGAAGGTTCAAGTGAGCTTTTCTGATCAAAGAGTGTCCGGCGTCCGTCTGTCGTCTGTAGTCCGTAAACTTTTCACATTTTCGACTCCTTCTCAAGAACCACTGGGCCAATTTCAACCAAACTTGCCACAAAGCATCCTTGGATAGAGGGGATTTAAATTTGTTCACAGGTTGTGTCATGTCCTCTTTCAAAGGGAGATAATTAAGAATTCGTGAAAAATTGGTGGTATCTTAAAAATCTTTTTCTCAAGAACCACTGGGCAAGAAAAGAAGAAACTTAAGTGAAAGCTTCATTACATACTGTAGATTCAAATTTGTTCATATCATGACCCCCGGGATAGGGCAGGGCCGCAAGAGGGGGTGGAAGTTTTACATAGGAAAATATAGGAAAATGTCTTTTAAAATCTTCTTCTCTAGAACAGCAAAGCCATGATTAGTCATATTATATTAGAAGTATCCTAAGGTAGTATAGATTCACGTTTGTTCAACATAGAACAATACATAAATTTTATGTAACACGCAATCTGATTGGATAAAAAAAAAATTCGCTTATAATTTACATAAATATTATAACTATAATAATAAAGGTACACATAAAGGTTACCAGGAATACAGGTTATTTATGAAAAGTATTACTTTAATGAAATATATGGAGATAACGAACAGTATTCAAGCTCAAAAGTCCATTAAACAATACAAAATAGGAGCAGAGCAAACACGGACCTCCAAAACATCAGAGGTGGGATCAGGTGCCATGGAGAGGTGAACATCCCCTGCCGACCGGTCACACACGCCGTGTGCTCCTTGTCATGATCGGGAAATAACGGAAAAATCCGTCGACAATTCAGTGTGTAAATAATGGCCTAAATATTAGTATGAAAAACGTTAGTCAGCATTTGACTCAAAGATAAATTGTATTTGCTGACAAGATCATTGTATCGACCATAGAACTTACGAAATGATGGCTTTAAACGAGACTGCTGATATTCTTGTTACATCAACTTGTTTGTCAATAATTTACCTCGTTTTAGAAATTGTACGTACGTAGAGCATGCTCTTGCGTATCGAATCAACTGAGAGATATAAAACCCGTATGCAGGTGATGAAGGTATATTGCTGCATAAGTAAGGGAAGTTGACGATTGAAAAGTTAAAGTCATCACGTTTATCATAAAGCTGTGGTATCTTTTATCTCAAGCTCACCGGGATATATCGTATCGACATAAGAATGGAAATAACCATTGTTAATTGACAATACGTCGTCGATATAATTATCTAAATGTTGAGTTGAAGGCCACAGCAGGTGTTTTCTTCTTTTCACGTATAAGATTTTGGACAAATTTCTGCTTCATATGAATACAAAAAAGGTCTGCTAATAACGGGGCGCAATTGGTACCCATGGAAATTCCAATAGATTGTTGGAAGACCTGGTCTCCAAAAACCACATAGATATTGTCAATCACAAACTCAAGCATCTTTTTAATGTCAACTTCAGAGTACTTGTGTGTACAATCAGAATATTTTTTTAACAAAATAATTTTGCAAATGACCAATGACAAGGTAAGTAAATTTACGAGTTCCATTTTTATTGAAAAAGCAGCTGTCAATGATATCAAAAAGCATCGTGGGGAATTGTTGTGTATAAAGTTGAAAATTCGTAAGTTTTTAAGCTGTTGATTTTGGTAAATCCTTGTGATTTCAAATTTTCCAAAAGTTCCTTGGAATTTTTAAGTATCCACATCTGATTTACACCACTTCTCGAATGATACCGGCTCAAATAATAAAAAATATGATTATATATATTAAAGCATCTGTGACAATTTTAAGACTTTCTGTAAATATAATACAGAAAATATGCTGAGTATAAATACAGCGATAATTGATAATCAGAAAAGAACTTCATAAGTGAGAATGACTCGCGTGAAAATCAACAGTATAGCCTTCGATCAATGCTCTATTGTTTTAGGCACTGATGGCGGAAATTAAAAAATGAGACAAGTCTAGCTCTTTCCCAAAATGCATACAAAAGATATACCAGTGACTCATTCATCGAAAACAACGAGTTTGAAACACCTGTGGGGGTCTTGCTTCAAACTGATATTTTAATTTTATGTCCCCTCTGCCTATCCGTATACTAGAAACATTTTTCCGGATTATTACTGTCCATGCAAAACCGTTGAAGGGGGGGGGGTCAGAAAACATTTTTTTTCTTTTTAGAGATATATGTATAGAATGAAAAAAAAACGAATAAAAGAGTTTCTTTTAATTTTTGGTCTGTCCTTTCAAATATAAATATAGGCCTTGAGCAAATCCCACTTCCGCGAGATTTCGACGCCATTACAGTCGATGAACGACGAAAAGGAGGAGGGGACTAGAAAATGGTAAAGTGTTTTGTTTATATGATTTTGTTCAGCAACATTATGCCATGACATGAACTAATAGTACAATAACCTATCGAAATGTTCGACCAATTACTCCACTGCATAAGGAAGATAAAGCATTATGAACATTTTATTTAGGGGTGGTCTTCCAAGAAGAAGTTAATCACATGACAGAAAATAATAAAGAATCGATATAGCTTATCATATTCCATCGTTGATGATGTACATATTTTTAATGTGCTATACAGTTTAAGACATGGGTGCATCACGTCTTACATGTGTATGCCAGAGATGAATGAAAAATATCAAAATGTGAAAGTACTGGAAATTAGATTAGCTCGAATTTCCTCAAATGTTAGACATTTGATGTTTACGTTACACACAAAACTAAGCAAATGATTACACACTTCATTACAATAAAGAAGTAGAGAATTTTTATTTGGGCAATTCCTGCTGTCTAATACACCTTTGTATTATACAAAATAATGTATGATTTAATAATAATTATATTTTCATGCGTGAGGTGACGGTTGTCGATGGATTGAGCTCATGTAATTTTAGGGTGCACTAAACATAGAATCTCATCCCCTCACGCAGAGTGCAATTATACTTATATACTCAAATGGTTTGCACTAAACGGGAAGAAGGAGAAATTTAAAAAGTAAATTTGATAAAATTTAACAGTTATTGATTCATGAAATCATGGTGAGTTTCTATGGTTTTTTTTTTTTTTGTATTTTATATTCTGTGACCTGTGAAAATGTAGTTTGGCAGTGAGATGCAGTTTGAAAGGGTTGTGGGTCCAGAGTTAACTGTAGATCAATTTGCATAGTCTGAATTTTCTCTTGGCCCAGGCATGATGTGTTGCTTTAAGAGTTGGCAGTATGTCCAGCATTCGCTATTAAATACCATTATAAACTTTTATATACACTTTTGATATTTATCCTCTTCACACAGAGATTGGGATAAGAAAAAGGCTAAATGCGACAATGGCTCATTCCAAGTCAGTGTCAATGTGACATTTCTAAAATCAATGCACCATATGGAATTTTTTAGGGGACATGTATTGAAAATGGTAGGTTAAAATTTGACTTCATATTGAGGAATTCTTTGCAAAACTAAGAAATCTCTGGCCTTTCTCCAGATGAGGATTTTTTCAGCGGCATTTCTTCAACTTCGTGTGCATTAATGTCAAATTTAGACTTATGGTATTACCCAATCAGAAACCATTTAACTGTTTGATAAGATACTGAAGAAATCTAAGTCATTGTTATGCTTTGCTCACAGCAATTTCTTTGATTTTTCAAGCGGAAATTTGACACCAATTGTTAAAGCATTGTAACGAAAGAGATTACAAACCAGTGGGGAAAAGCTAAAAGTTTAAAAAGTATATGCGATGATTATATGTGCTATAAGGATGCAGCATTTTTAATAGCAATGCACTATTATTTAATTTAACGTGACTATAGCGCAGGGCGCATGCTTATCCCAATCACTGTTCATATCAAGTTATACTGGAAAGTTTGAGGTGTGTAATTGTAGATTGTGACTTCTCATCATTCATAGACATGTTTTGACTCTGCAATAAAGAAAGTGATGGACTGATTGATTGATTTAAACTCAAGAACTCAAAACACTGAATTTTATAGGTAAAAAAAAAAGCATGAGCTATGGGATGCTAGCAAAAAAAAAAAAATACATTTTAAAGTTACTTGACAAATATAGACACAAATGAGGAGTGTTGTGTTAGGTTGGCATTTAAATATTTGTTTACTCTTACAAAACGGTACCTAAAAATCTTGCAAGAATTATATGCTATCAAGCTTCCATGAGGAGGAGCACAGTGAAGGGGAGTTACCCTAAATGGTCACAATAAAGCCTATTATAATTTCATTTGTGTATATGTATTTATTTTCTTATGAAATAAAGACAACTTCAGTTATTTTATGTACAGTATGCATACTTTCCATGTACAGAAATAAAGATATCAAAAGCATAATTACTCAGTTTTTGTTCATGTGTTGATACTATTGTTTACTTTTAGAGTTTCTTTGGATTCGGCCCTAGTGCCGACATCGATATAGTGCTAGATGGACAGGATACTAGAAAAACTGCTGAAATCAAAACAGAAGATGGCAAAAAAGAAAGACATTTTTTGTACTATGATGGGGAAACAGTAGCTGGGAAGGTATACTGAGAATAAAGTTAATGTTTTCTGACATTTTAAATTGTTTAACTTTTCATTCATGCAATGTACAAAGTGCATTTCCTCAATGAACTGGAGATGTGGGCAGTTATTATAATGATCACCAAAATTGCCAAAAATTGTAACATTTATAAATTATGCTGATATTTTTGTATCCATAAGAAATTTGAGAGAACAATTTAATAACATATATGTCCTCATAAAGCCAGCTTAAAAACATAAAGTAACCAAAGTATGGTAGATATTTACTACTTTGATATCACAGAAATATTTTGTGTGTGTGTAAGGAAGTGCTCATCCCCAACTTCTGGGTCCAAAATTGTTGAAAATAATCTGCATTATACACATAAGTTACATAACTGACAGTAAATACAATCATAATGCATATATGTCATGAAATGTTTCAAGTTATGTAATATTGCAATCTGAAAATTCTGTTGTAGGTAAATATTACAATGAAAAAAGCTGGCAGTAAAATGGAACATCAAGGCATCAAGATAGAATTTATAGGACAAATAGGTAAAAGATGTTAACTTTGTTTGCTGTATGGGGTTAGGAAAATTTAGTGAAATGGAAGAAAATTGACAGTTAAAGTGGATAACATGAATTTTCTTTTCAATATTGTTAGCATTTAAACAAAATCAAGAATGCTACTTACATGTAATAAAATTCTCTTAGTTAAAGTGAATGCAGGGGTGAAGTGCAAAAACGTTTTTAACATCATATATTGTGGATTGACACTATAATTCAATTTATTGTAGAATTATATTATGACCGAGGAAATCACCACGAGTTTACCTCTCTTGTCAAAGAGCTAGCTCGACCAGGGGAGATAACTGGAAATACAACCTTTGGTTTCGAGTTCCAGCAGGTTGAAAAACCATATGAATCATACACAGGTGCCAATGTTAGGTTACGGTAAGTCAGCTTATAAAATATTGTGCAGTAAGTGCCGATGACTTGTATGTCTGCAGGGACGATGATGAAAAGGTACAAATGGCATCTTCATTGGTTATTAAAGAGAATTATATTTGTAGTTATTTGTACCCATGAAAAAAGAAATACATTTACATGACATATCAAAGTTTTATGCACATTTAGATAAAGAATATAATGCAAAATATGATTGTGATAATTAAGAATAAATGCACTCTGCTGATACAGTAAAGAAACTTTCTTGGCTGTAGAGCCAAGCCTCTTTAAAGAATGTACTTTCTTGCAAAGAATTACTTTGCATCACTAATAGGCATTTAGTCCAAAGAGAAAAGCCCAATTTATTTTTGTCTGCTCTCTCCAACAGGTACTTTTTACGAGTGACAATAGTGAAGAGATTGTCAGATACTGTGAAGGAACAAGACATTATTGTACACACATTATCACAGTACCCGGAAATGAACAGCAGCATAAAAATGGAGGTCGGCATTGAAGACTGTCTACATATAGAATTTGAATATAATAAATCCAAGTGAGTATTTGATGGTAATCTGTTATTTCAGAGTTGAAATAAACAAGATGAAGGCTGTGATTTTCCGCCTTTAGTAAATTCAAGAAATTATAAAAATGTTCTATGGCATGTACCATATATTGTAAAACATTCACAGTATTTAAGAGTATTAGCATTGGAAAAATATTTTCAGTCTTTTCAAATTAAAATATGCTGTATGTTTTCTCTTCATGCTTAATTGAGGTACCATTTAAAGGATGTAATTGTTGGGAAAATTTATTTTCTGCTGGTTCGCATAAAAATTCGCTACATGGAACTGGCAATAGTCAGACGTGAAACCACAGGAGCAGGTGATCTTACATGGAAAAGCTCTGGTCATGTGGAGAACACCCATATTCTGATAGCAGATTACTTCAGAGTTTATATTTATAGAAATTAATTAAGAAAACATTTTAAATAAATATCATTCTAGACTTTAAACCAGTTTTAGTCATATTTTGACTTTTCTCACCCATAGCTTTCCTTTTTACAAATTAACAATATGCATTCTCAATGAATTACTGAATTCAACAACGAAATTTCCTTTTTGCAATAATTGAAAAACTTCTTTTCCAAAATTAATTTCTTCCTGTTCAATTTGTTATCAGAAATATTGGGATGCTTGCTCACAAACAATTGGTTATGCCTATATGTATATGTTGTGACATTTTGTTTCAAAAGTATTTTTTGGTTAGTTTCTGTTACCTGCTTAGAAGTGATATACAAATGTATATGGGTTGGTTATTTTTATTATTTCTTTTCAGTGCCTTACAATATTTTGACAGTGTTTTGACATCATAGTTCTGTATTTAATCACTTCAAGCTTTCTACGAAGAAGACAGATTTGAGTTACACTTTAAGCCCTGTTTTTTTTTTTTTAATTTTGTTTTAGTTCTGATTGCTTTGTTTACACAGGTACCACTTGAAGGATGTTATAGTGGGGAAGATATACTTCTTATTAGTACGAATTAAAATCAAGCATATGGAAATTCAAATTATCAAGAGAGAAAGCACAGGGACAGGTATTGGCTTTACCTCACAACTGCACTGTTTGACATTTCAAAGTTAACTGTAGAGTAAAAAATAAAACACTTTGAAGAACTACATTGAGTGGGACATTTTAAAGTAAACAGTAGAATAAAATTTTAACAGACTTCAAAGAACTTAATTTAACAGACTGTAAAAAGCTACATTGTATTACTTTGATAATTGTGTTTTGGCATCTCTTGTGAGGCTTCTGGAAATAAGAAAATGTATGTAAAAAAACAAAACAAAACAAAAATCATGCAAGTTTCACTCAGCTGACTGTAGCTGTATTAAATCTGACATATGTACCGGGTATTAGAATTTGAGAAAATTGATATTAAACACATCCTATTTTATGCAATATAATTCAGATTAGTTTACCATCCCCAATCCCATACTGTGTAAACAACCTTTGTTTTAGATATACAATGACATTTAAACACATAGCTTTCTTTTGTCAAGCTTAATTCCAATAGATATTACATCTGTATTATATTAGTACTCAGGATAAATAAGTGTGCATCATTGATAGGCATACAGTTTGATATTTAAATCTTAGTGGCAGACACAGTTGTAACAGAAATTAAAATTGAACATAAAGAACAACATATTTTGATATATTGTAAGTTGGAATATTTGCATGTACTTAGATTTAATTTTAAAGTTATGTGTTGTTTTACACAGGAAACTTAATTATGCATTAATTTTGTTTTAACTTCGTGGGTAGTTTTGTGTAAAATAGTCATTATGTAACTTTGCAAGGATTGAAGATTTTAAAATCGTGATAATATAATTCACAGTTAACAGAAGTTCTTTCCCTTTGCTGCTGTCTCATAGAGAAAGTCTATTTTTCTCACGTTTGTAAACTTTTTGGCTAGCTGCAGATCTGTGACCAGAGAGCTACAGTGCCATCCATTGAAAAAAGGATATATTTATTGTGCACAAAAAGTGCACTTTTCTCGATTTATTTCTCTATACATCTCAAAATATTAGTAACCATGTACTTCAACAACAAACCGTAAGTACAAGGAATGCATGAAGCGTGTTGGACTAAATTGTCTTGCCACCCAAAATGGCAATATGAATAGATGAATTTTTTGATGATCTCAATTTCAGGCCCAGGATGGCTATTAAAATGGTATTGGGGAATGTTTTGTTGTGGAAGTAGTAAATGAATATGCTAGGAACACACAGTAATATTTTGAGGTGGCAACTTAAATATACAGAGAAATAAAATGAGAAACAACAATTTTTTTGTGCACAATAAATGTACAACTTTTTTCAATATGTGGGACTGTAGCTCTCTGGTCGTCCATGCCAATTTTTTCAGGCTAGGGAGCTACACATGATATCTGCAGCTACTTTTTGGCCTGTATCTATGCCAGTTATCTTTTAAAATCATTAATTGTAATTGCACAGTTGTCTATGTTAGGCAATATAATACATCTGTATGACAATAGGGTAGCTACTATAATTTAAATTCTTCCATGAAATGTAAAAGTAGGGCTTTTTCACCATTAACCTGTGCTTGATGTGCAAAGGGAAGTAACTCAAGAGAAATTATTAATTAAATGTATATAATTCTGTTATTTAAAGCTTTGAAGTCTTAAAAGAAATATAAAATAAATCATTAAACATTTGAATACTTGTAATTTTATAGTTGCATGTTACTTTATTATTTTTAGGTCCCAATACGTATAATGAAAATGAAACAATAGCAAAGTATGAAATAATGGATGGAGCACCAGTCAGAGGTAATTAATGACAAACAACCTTAAGATGGACACATCCAGTATGTGCATTTTTCCAACACCCTTTGAAGACTTTCATTTTTTCCCAGCTTTTTGGAATGAAATTATGTCATGGTTTATTTAGGTGAGTCAATACCAATCCGATTGTTTTTGAGTGGATACGAGCTCACACCAACCATGAGAGACATCAACAAGAAGTTTTCAGTCAGGTACTATCTCAACCTGGTTCTGGTTGACGAGGAGGAGCGACGGTACTTCAAACAACAGGTAAGGATAGATGCCACTCAGATTTACATACATGTAGCTAGTTCCCTTTATAGAGGTCCAGCAATAGTCAGTCCATCAGAAGCAAACAAAATCATACATTTTTTGTAGGGATGTCAATTTTGCCAGTAATTCGTATTCGAATATTCAATGAAAGTATTCGAATATATTCGAATATTCGATAAAATAAATAAAATGTGGTTTATTTTAAATATGCATCATCCTATACTTTCAAGAAAGGTTTAGCGTAGGTATTTTTATATTGGAAGTAAAATTGTATGAAGACTTTTGTAGTTGTACAATAAGGAATTCCATTTATTATTTGTCAATGTTTGAAATAAATAATTTATTGAAATGTAGAAGAGTATAATTTTAACAAACGATACATGTGTTTTTATAGCAGCTCCAACTAAGGAACCAGTCGTCTTACCAAAGACAGGATAGTCGTATACAGTTCAGATCTCAATACGTGTAATTAATTATAATTATCAGCCTCAAAAGTGATATGATTATAATCTTTGATACAAAGTTTTTAAAATATAAACAAACACAAAGACAATTTTCCTAGGTAATTAACTAATTTCCTGATAATGAATATAAAATTCAGGATTATGTACAACCCGAGATAATCATTTATTCTGAAATTGAGCCCTTAACAATATTAGTAACAGACTAATTCTATCGGACATTCATTTGAATGATCAATTAAATTTGTTTTGATAAGAATACTCTTCACATATTTTAGATATTCGAAGAAGGTTAAAAATAAACTTTCATTTTGTTGCCCTCGATTCTACATCCGATCGTATTTAACTAATAAAAACTATGAAAGTATGTTTTGTATAATACATAAAGCATTATTGTATAATTCTTTAACACATTCAAAACAAAATAATTTAGTAGATCTTTAAGATAAGAAAGTAGTGAAAGAAATCAGGCGATCGAAATTGGTCAATAGTAAATTAAACAGGGCTTATTTCAGCACTGTTCTAATCAAAATTTATTAATCACAGTACATCTTTTTATGAAATCTGAAAAACACTGAATATTCGAATCTTAAATTCATATTCGAATATCAACTCATCGAATGAATATTCGAATGTTCGAATATTCGTTGACATCCCTAATTTTTTGTTTAATGCTATTTGAAAGATAAAAATGGTTTTATGTATTTTTTTTTTTACCGGGGGCAGATTATTCTTGTAAAGCCAATTTATTATGTTACATCATTAATATCAGAAAATCATATCATTAGTGTGCGGCATTTTAGTCATTTTGAAGCTCTATGAAAAGATCAAGTTTATTTTTCTTCTTCTTTGACCCATAAAAGTCATTACTCAGAGGAAATGCTCATCTGTTTTGACATATCCATAGGCCTGATTACATTAAAAGGAAAAATTGGATTTTGTGCTAAAAGCTTTATTTTTTTAAGTGACATCATTGGATATAAAAGTAGATATAAAAGTCATTACTCAGAGAAAATGCTTGTCTGTCTTGACATATTCCCTTGGCCTGATTTCATTGAAAGCAAAAATTAGATTTTGTGCTTAAAGCTTTATTTTTTGAATGTTCAGGAAATAACAATTTTCCGGCGGGCTGACAAAGCCAGACGTGCGGTAGCTGGAGAGAAGAAGCAGACGCATCACTCAATGCAACATCACAAAGAGGCTGCACCACCACCATCAATAAAACCATCTGAGGAGAATTCAGACAGCCAATGATGTCACTTCCTGTCATGTCCCATCATTCTTTATTCACAGCGGCTTGTGATTACCATAGCAACATTAATTATTTCACTAAGTGTGTGTACATGTTCAAGAAAAAAAAGCTCCCACTTCAAGGTTTTCTTTTGTCATACAGCTTTAGCCATATTTCAGTGTTAAACAAATGTATCACTGTTTGCTATTATTCTTTCTGAACAGTAACAATAGCTCTGTTATCAAATTGATCAAAAATATACTAGTAGTGGATATAAAAAGCAGTGCATGTTGTGCATCATTAATTTAGTGTTTGAATTTAGTATCTAAATAGACATAACTAGATGAAAAGTTTTGGGCATTGACTGTGTTTATTTTCATTAGAGATTCTGTAATCAGATTTCTTTATGTCCATTTGTCCATCAAGAGTTTTGACAACAGTAAAATATGCTAAATATTATCATAGGTGAATAAAGTTTATGCCATAAAAGAAATATGAACAGGGTAATGTTTTCTTACATGAAGGAAAAAAAATTACCAAAATTATTCATTATTTGTAATTCGTAAATTAGGAGATCTACAAAAAATTGGCTCTAACTAAGTCAGTATTTTATACTATACTGTGAAACATAAAAATGTTAACACTGATAATTTTTAAATCTCTCTGTCAAAAAACAGATGTAAAATGTAGATGTTAAATTTCTTGTATATTGAGGGAGTGGCTGATTCCAAAAGAATTATTCTTGAGTACAATTTTTAGTCGGATACTATTCTAAAATCCTATGGAAGCTGATTTTGTGTCAAGTTTAGATGAAGTATGGTTGGACACTAGTACTTTTAATGTAATTTGTACAAATGTAAATATATGAAATATGTGGGCTTGCGTCCACAGTTATGTGCAATGTTAACTCATACTGATATGTGATTTCCCATTTAGAACCTCCAAGGTGTACATGTGTGGATTGTAAAAGGATATTTACATGTAACTTGTAATTTGTGTTTTCTTACACTTACTTACATGTATGCATTGTAATAGGATATGTACATGTAACTTGTAATTTACATTTTCTTGCACTGTTACTTAATTGAATGGGATAAAACCTTATTACAGCTGTAGGACGCTTTATCATGGACAAAAATAATTTAAGAGAGTACCAAGGTCATGTGTGAAAACGTGTTTACTAAAGTGTTGAGATTTCCCATTGTCCTGTCAGATGTCAGGGATAAAATAGTTACTAATGTTGGATTTTCAAGAATAATGTAGTTGTTTTTTGACACATACTAATCTTCCACTTTTATAGTCAGCAATACTAAGACTTGTATGGCTCTGAATTTTTAAAAGTGCATAGCTGAATTATTAAAACGTTCAAGAAATCCCAATTGCTACTTTTATAGTGTCTAGTAAATAAACATGGATCATTCCACATAAAAGTTTGAATATTGTCGTTTCATTAGAGAAGAAATTGTTGATGTTTAGGATAGAAAGATATCATGCTTGTGCTAAATGTCTTTGTGTTTGTAAACAATCTTTGTTATGCGTTGTACATTTAAACAATGGTAGTTAAAGTTTGAGTGTGAAAGGGTGTGGATTTGAAAATACCTGTTTGCGAGTAATTGATTGGAAGAAATAATGTATACGTAATGTATTTATGAATAAAAATGTTAAATATTACATGCATGCATACTCCAGTATGACATTTTAAAAACAAATATCTATGTTATATGTCAAGGAATTGTGTACCATATTCTGAATTGAAGACAAGGGTTTTCATAGGTAGTCTAGAGGGGACCACATTTTCATTGAATCTAATTTAGAGACAGAAATATATGTTGCAGCAATTTTAATCATTTTTTTCATATTTTTCTATGTATTTCCTCATGTGATATGGAACTTCCCTTAAGAGTTTGGCTGCACTCTAATTTTTCAGAGATGCTTTAGAATAGGAAATTTCTGGTATGATAAAACGTTTTAATTTTCTTTCCGTAAATCAGTAATCATCTTGGCAATCTCTATATAACTATTACTGCTACTGTGCTTGCTCTAACATTATCCAAGCTCTGGGGAATTAACAGAAAGAAATAGAAATAAGAACTGTTTCATTGACATCAGAGTCCTTTGTTGCCAATTCCTTGTCCTGTTTTCTCTTATTAATTTAAGTGAATAAAATTTTTACTACACTACTTACTGTGTTATGCATTGATAGCGGTAGATCAGAAAAGCCTCGTATAAAAGGTTTATAATATAGTCAAACCCTGTTGTAGGTTTTAAAGATGTTGAGCAAAAGTTGGTGTTTTCTCATATTTGATGTGATCAAGGTTTTATCTCTTAATGAACTATTTAATTTAACTTGTTTTTAGAATTCACATTAAACATGTAAAATTGTAAATATATACAAGTAGGTTTAGTAGTTGTAGTGCCCTGTTTTCTTTCAAATAACTAGAAAATAAATTATTTATCAATAAGTAATTCAATAAAATAAAGGAATCAATGATACTGACAGCGCAATTTTTAAAAAGCAAAAATAAAAACTTTTCTATGAACTTATTTTTATTGCTTAAAATACCTTTTCTATGAACTTTAAAAATTGAAAAAAATGTCGTCTCAGAAAGGTGGGGTAGGGGGGTCCTCGTCTTTTATTACTCCACTCTTTACATCATTCAAATATCAAAAAGATGAGAGCCAATGCAAGATACGTCATAATAAAAAGTAAAAGATATAACAAAACATTAAGTGACTGGGTTTTCGACTTCTCCGACGGAATGTGTTTTGCCGAACCCTTGAACCAGCTGCAGATAATTGCTTTTGCCCGAACGGCCTGAAGTATACAGTTTAGTTATTGGATCCGACTTGACTTATGAAATCGATATTATGATTAATTTAATATACTAGAAAAATAATTTATGTTCGGTTTCTGTGTTCGTTTCTATTTGTTTTCGTTTCTTTATGCAGGCAGCTCTCGAACCCAGTCAATAAATGTAATATATATTTGTTATCGAACTTCTGTCCATGTTAATGGTGGATAAACAAAGAAAAGAATTACACCTATAAGGTTGAAATGCATAATACCAGTTTAAATCTATGTGGGGAAATTCTTATACCTTCCATATATATCAGAAAACAATATGTGTTTGTGAAACACTGATGCCCAGAAATGTTAAAGTCTTTCATGTCAAACTACGACGTCAAGGTCATGAGGTCAAAAATGTCGGTACAAAAGACGGATCTATACACATGGAATACTAAAGCCCTAGCACCAAATAGAAGTTAAAAAGGTTAAGGTTTTTCACAAGAAGGTCAAACTCCAAGGTCAAGGTCATGAGTTTAAAAAAGTTGGTTCACAAAGAATGGTCTTGTCACAAGAGATACACATGTAAAATATGAAAGCCTTAGTACCAACTCTTCAGAAGTTAGAGTGAAGGTTAAAGTTTTTCAAAAGTAGGTGAAACTCCAAGGTCAAGAATAAAAGGTCACAATTGTTGGTATCCAAAGGAAGGTCTTGTCACAAGGAAAATACCTATGAAATTTGAAAGCCCTAGTACTAATTATTCAGAAGTTATGGCCAAGGTTAAAGTTTTTAAACATGGGTCAAACTCCAAGGTCAAAGGTTAAAAATATTTATACCCATGGAAAGGTCTTGTCACGATGAATACACGTGTGAAATATGATACCCTAGTACCAACTGTTCAAAAGTTATGGCAAAGGTTAAAGTTGGGTAATTTTTTGTAAAAGTGGGCAAACTCTAAGGTCAAGTTCAAGAGGTCAAATATGTTGGTACCCGAAGGAAGGTCTTGTCACAAGAATACAAATGTGAAATATGAAAGCCATAGGTCCAACCAATCAAAAGTTATGGGCAAGGTTAAAGTTTTTGCGGACAAACAGCTAAACAGACACACAGACGGACGGACAGGACAAAAACCATTTACCCCTGAATCTTCGATTGGGGGGGGGGGGGATAAAAAACAACAACAACAAAACAAAGATACATGTACATTGCCAGGTCCTGCAAATGCTTTACCAAGCCCCCATCTTTATTCCTTACAAAAGTATTAACTGCTGTAAGTAAGAAATGTTAGACGTTATGTGCTACAGCATACGTATTCTAGAAGTGGTGTTAATCAAAAGTGGATTCTTAAAACTCCAGAGAATATCTAGAAAATTTATAATCAGAGCATTTTTCAAGTCATTAACTTCAAAAGGTATAACTTTTTAACACTTTTTACAACAATTCCTCACGATAAATTGAAAGCTAGGATTTTTGATATCATAGACAACTGCTTCTTCAATAAAAATGAAAACTCGGAAATTTTCATATTTTGTGCTTGGTCATCTGCAAAATTACGTTGTAAAAATAACACTGATTCCACACGCAAGTACATATAGTTGTTGATATTAAAAGGATGCTGGAGTTCCTCGTTGACAACATCTATGATATCTTGGTGACCAAAAATCTGTTGGAATTCCGATGGGCACTAAATTTTTGGGCTCTTGTAATAGCCGACCTGTTTTATTTTCCTATGAAGCAGAATTTATTCAAAAACTTCTGCATAAAAAAAAGTTTGCTTTGGCCTTCAACTTGACATTTAGATATATCGACGACGTTTTATCAACAACGTTAGTAGTTAGTTCCATTCATATACCCCAGTGAACTCGAAATGAAAGACACCACATAGTTTGCCATATATGTTTTATATTTGGACAGTTTACTGGCTATAGACGATAAGGCCAACTAACAACTAAATTGTATGACAAACGAGATGACTTCAGCTTTTTCATCGTCAACTTTCTTTATGTATGTAGCAATATTCCGCTATCACCTGGATGGTCTTTGTCTCCTAACTTATTCGAGAGCCAAAAACATGCTAGTAGTAAGATAATGTTTTAAACCGAGGCAGGCTACTGACAAATTATTTGATGTTACAGGGATTTCATGAAACTCATTTTAAATCGGCATTTCGTAAATTCTATGGATGTTATGATGACCTTGTTAGCAAATATAACCTGTCATTGGGTTATGTTTTGACTGGACAGATATTGGGCTTTCCCGATGCAAAACATGGACATTGCCATGATTATACTCATATGGGAGTGGAGGTATCATTTTGTGAGCTTAATCTCATTATACCTCTATTTTTTCTGTTTTGCGTGTTAACTTTTCTCATTTCATCTTCTTCTTATTATTATTGCCTTATTTTTTTTAAAATCTTTATTTAGCTGTGCTAATCAATAAGTGTGAAAAAGAATTGATTTTAAAAAATGTGTTGAGAAGACCCGAATGTAAATTAGAAGGGCGAGGTGGGAGTGTTACAACTCAAAATGAAACAAGAAAACATTGATGTAACCATCAATTGTCGCCCGGGAAATAAATAAAGTAAACAATGGAAATGAGTCTTGATCATCAAACCGCTTCGATATGTGTGAAAAAGGCATGCGTCTAAATGATGGAGACGATAGTCGAGAATATTTTGAAAACCTATAGTCGGATGAAAATCGAACAGAAACGATACCCTTTTAAACTTTATCAATTCCTCAAGTAAATGTTGGCTGCATAAAATATAAATTGAAACCAGACATATACATCACCTATTTTCAAAAATGTCTATCACTTTAAGAATATAAAACACGAACTGTGTAAAGTACGCTTTTACGTTTTTATGCGATAAGTAAAATTCGATGTTCTAAAAAAAGGGACCTGGCATTTTTTCGATAGTAAATGATAAGCAACTTTATATATTAAATATGAAAAACATATATATTTTTACAGATTCACTTTATGGAAGTAAATATATTGTGTATCTCGTAATTTATAAAGGGAAAGAACATTCTGATTAACAATCTTTTTGATGTTTAGAAAACCTTTAATTCTGAATAACTTCTCCCACCTCAATCCCCATATACCAACACTAAAACTTATATGTATAGAGCAGCCCGGTCCTCCGGGCTGCAATAACGATGCAAAATTTTAGATTTTTACATTTTGTGTAATTACATTTTGCATCGAGATTAACGCAGAATGTAAAAACACAATATGTAAAAAAAACATACACACTTTTTGGATAATTATCTTTTGCGTTATTTCATTTTGCGTCGAAGTCAATGCAAAAAGTAATATCGCAGAACTAAATTGTAAGTATCGCGTATTATCTCGATCCACAAATAAGAGCATTTTTCATTGAAAGTAGAATTACAGTATATTGCACATCGTCGGATACCCAAAGGTGATCTCATCTTTTATCCTTCACGATGAAGAGGTAAAGAAGAGATCACCCGTGGCTTACCGGCGATGTACATTTTAATCAGTTATTATCTTTATACAACTTTGACTACCTTATCCAAAATATTCCCAAACTGAAATGAAAACTGTTGCGATTAGTTTTCATGTTCTCTGTAGAACTGGCCTAGGTGGCAAATGGCTGCTACCTACATTGAGAATGAAATAGACTCAATAAATTAAATTTTTGCACCTGTATACCATTTTTTTCAAAGTTAAAAAAAATTCCTCCGCGTAAGGTGAAGGTCCTTAAATATGTCACTTTTTGATATATATATTTTTTGAAGACAAACTGTCCTACAGGTACAGTGAAGACTTATGATCAAACAAGCTTCGTTAGCAGAGGTAAAATTTGAAATGTTATATATGTTTTCAATTTATGCATGGTTGGTTTTCAATGAGATCAGCCCTGTTCACAATTTGTATTCTTTACCAGATTTTTATTTTTTTTTTTTATCTTTATTTTTTTCATCACTGTGCTTTACCTTCACCTTTTACACTACAATTGCAGATAATATAATGTATAATAATATAATAAGTTCATAATATTCTTAATTTAAGCATTCTTTGTGAAAAGAAATTCTACCTTTAGTTGAATAATCCGAGAAAGAATTTTTTTTTTTTCATAGGAAATAGACTAGACAGCGATGATATATATAATTTTCGGTCATTCCTCGAAATTCCATAGGTATACGCTGACAAACTCCAGTCTGAATTAGTTTGGATAATTATAGCATAAAGAATTGAATTCTCAGGATGATCAGCACTTTGTAGAGAATTGAGCACGTATATCTTTGTGGGAAATCTATATTTTTTAGCTCACTGAACTGAAAGTAAGTTAGCTTTTCTTATACACTTTGACAATCTGTCTGGAAAACTTTTATATATTTTCGACTTCTTAACAAAAAATGGAAAGTTTAACCAAAACTACCCACAACTTTTAGTTAGCAAAAGGACACTCAAAATTCACGTTATGGACTTTATCCCTTTCTAAGGGTAGGTATTGGTAATTACTGAAAAATTCAAAAAGCAAGAAGCAGAGGACAAAAAAAGCAATGGGATGTATTTGGAGTTGAAGCAACTTGACCTAATTAGCCGTTGGGACCCGTTGTTTAATAGTTCTTTAATATTGCTTGTTACAATGTTCCCAGAATTTATTGATTTTTCGTAATAATTTTATCTAAAATAATAGATTAAAAACATATTATGCTAGCATATGTTAATGTTAGTATTATATGACGAAACCCCCTTTTACCTTTTGATATATGCAATTTTCATGGATAACCTCCCGTTTATTTTATTTACTTCATGTTTTGTGCTGTTGTTCAAAAACAGAAAGCCTATACAAGATACGTATTAGTAAGGGATTGTTACACCTGGTGATATTTCTGAAACACCGAGTGTTTCACTATCTACTTCGTATTGTTTGGTACAAAATATTGAAAAAGAGGAATTCAGTTAAGAAAAAGGTATTGTAGGCCAAGTAAACTAACATTTACAGATCAAAGAAGACTTGGATATTTGTTCAGTAAGAGTAACAGCAAGTGCAGGACCCTACCAGCTCTGTGCCTCTGTTGAATTCCTTTCCATTTTTCAGTATTTTGTCACACGTAAACCAAAAGTAGACAGTGGAATACTCAGTGTTTCAGAAGTATCGATCTTCAGTAGGCTTTCTGTTTTCACTTATTTTGAACAAAGGGTAAGTAATTCAAGAAAGCGGCACATAGCACAAAAAAAATAGCAAGTATTGTCCTTTGATAAAAAATTGATTTCAAACTATAAATATTTTATCTTAAAAATATTATTTTATAAATAATATTACCCAAAAAATCTAAATAATTTTTAGGAACACTATACATACAAATCTCCAGGTTCAGAATTTGGAGGAACTTTTTTTCGCTCAAGCAATCGGGAATCAACAAATCGATCGCTTGAGCATCGGAAAAGTTGTAAAATAAATGTCTGTTGGAAATACTGTACATCAATCGTGATATTTGAATGCTCCTTGTGGCATTATATGGCTGAGAAGTTTGAAGAAATTTTATACAATATGATCATTCTAAAGTTGTTAACTTGCAAAAATTAAGACCTTACATTATACATTTTAACCATTTGCACACCCTTAACTCCATGGCGAAATAGCTACATAAAATATCTAATTTGAAAATCAATAGTTTGTTAGTTATAAAATATGTTACAATATCATCCTTGAATAAACTGTTTTATTTGGTTTATGCCTCATAATTATATAATACACGTATTTCAATTTATTAAAATGTAAAATACAAGGAAACATACATAAATCAAAATCTGTTGTAATACTGATTCACGCATATAATATATAAAAACAGTATAATAAGGTTAAAAGAAATGCCCGATCTGGTTTCACCACCCATCAAAGAGGAATTTTAACATTTCTGGCATGTTTTCCTGGTGGAACTTGTCACTGCACATAGATTGATAACATTTCATGTAACCTTCGGTCAACTCTCGAAATTTGATGAACATATCTATAATTTTACTAAATCGTCGTATTGAATCATTTTTGTGACGATGCCTTAATAAACGATGCAATATGGCGACCATTTCATCCTGAATTTCCTCCACGCGATCAGGGCTTGATAATGAACATCTATCTGGAAAAAGAATTTAATATGTATAATTATCCCATATCTGAATGTGTTTTAAATATGTTCTCATTTATTTTTTGAAACTTTTAATATGATCGAATTCACTATGCCAAAGTACTGAACAATATATATATATATATATATATATATATATATATATATATATATATATATATATATATATATATATATATATATATATATATATATATATATATATATATTTACGTTAACATATTAATCATGAACTACACCGGCTTACTTTTTATAAGTAAAGAATTAATAAATATCAGCAAAGCAAATGTCATTTACACACATTTATTTCCCATTGCAAAGCCCGACAAAAAGCAAATATATTTGATTCAGATAAATAATACAGTTAGTAAAGATTACAACTTTCACAGCTTAATGAACTACGACATATTTTTTAAGGGTAATGTTGTTAGTCAAGATCAAAAGTTTCATGAACTGTAACACCAAAACAATGCAAATCTAGACGTACCACTTAATAAAAGACAACATATGTATTTTGGTGCCAATAATTTAATAGGTGAGCGCAACTAGCAATACTAGTATATGATAGTAAGATATATAAGGATTTATTTGTATATATACTTAGGATGAAGTTAGTCACTGCATATTTTCAGATGTTCGTATAGTTAATATTAGTCACAATTCAAGTACACAGATACTACATTATATATTGTTATACCTTTCGAAATTAGTTCCTATATAAATCTATACTAAAGAAAAGTCTAACATTTCTAATGTTTTACTGAGCAGTCATAAAAAAATCGATGTTTGACCGCAGATGAGATATTGGACCTGTGGACGAGATATTGGACCGCTTACGTCACACTGTGGGCGGGACCAGCTAAATCTTATTTGCATTCGTTAGTATGGAAGCCAGCAAAAGATACATGTATAAAAAAAATAATTAATAAATGAATAAAAGGTATAACAAAACATTTATTGACTGGCTTCTCGGGCAAAATGCGTTTTGTCGACCTCTCGAACCAAACAGTTTGGTTCTTGGGTCCGACAAAACGCATGTTGCCCTCGAACCCAGTCAATAAATGCATAGTATTTTTCCCCTCTGTGTACAATCTTTGATTACACGTAGTCCTAAACTTCTTAAGAACTTAAGAGATACTTAGAAAATATGCACAAAGAAATGATGTATACACTTTTTAAAAAATCAAGCAACTCTAACTGCATGGTAAGTGTAGTTATCAAAATTATTTTAATTCAGGAATATCAAACACATTGTGTTAATTGATGAAGTCATTAACATAGAAGTCTGTAAAATCTGTTTCTATTTTACAAAGAACTCGAACAAAGCTAGGGCAAGGAATGTGCTGAGTTTACGTGTACCAAGTCATTCATCAAACAAAAAACCAAGAAGTTCAGGCATTTCTCGCTTGATGAACTTGTCTTTACAAATCGTCTTGAACTGTAGGAAGTAATTTTCCGTCAGGCTGCGCAGGCCTGTCAACATGCTAATAATTCGAGAAAAAGCCATCATGAATTCGTCTCCATGGTGATCCTCCAGTAGGTAGTGGAGCATGCGCACCAAATTATCCTGAATTTGCTCTATGAATGATGGCTGCTCTAACCTACAGCGGTCTGGAAAATGAGGATAAAATAGGAAAGGTGTGAGAGGAAAACGGGAAATGTGTGGAAATGGATATTTCTGTTTTCCATTTTAGCAAGATTTCAAATCTCAGAAAACAATGAATAAATAAAATGTCGAACTTTCAAGAAACTACAAGTAGTCTCAATTTTGATCTAATTTCTACAATAAGCGTGAATGCAAAGAGAAAAAATTTGCATGCTAACAACTGCTTTTCAAATCAGTTACGTACACAATTTCTGTGCAGGTGGTCATGACCTTAAGCAAATAAGCAGGAAGACGTGTCGAGAGTTCAAGTACTCTCCATGGAATGCTTCACCAAATGCATTAATTGAAACATTAGGACTCACAATAAGGTCTTGTTTTTTTCTTGGATATATAAGAACTTGAAGTATAGATTTGAAAGAAAAGGTGCCACAGGCCATGCTTTTATTACAATGATCCTTACCTCTAAAGGTCAAGGCCACAGCAAGTGTAACGGCTAGTTCTTTATTAGTCAATTCTAGTTTCTTGATGGTCCGCGTAAACTCAAGCCATGATTTCATCATTTCTCTAGGTACGTATATACAAGCTTCGTTGAGGTGGAAGACTTCTCCGGAGTATGTCTGTATCATCTCTAGGTCAGGGTTCAGTGACCGATATTCCAAAAGCATGAAAAACTCGAACCTAGAAGCTACAAATAGAGTAGAAAAAATAAGTTTGTCATTCTGGCACAACAGTGTCTCTTACTTTTTGTTCTTGTTATATTGCAATAATCGCAGACTTCATTGTAGCTAAGTTGCTGGAAGACCGACTAATTAACCACCAACCTTTCAGGAGCGTAGCCTGGTCTTGTGCTGGAAGATCTGAAAACGACGGAATAGCATGTGAAAAATTGACATATTTCTTGATCATTGTTTCTAATGTCCCTTTGTTGAGTTGTAAATGCTGCTTTCTTCCATCCACGTCAAGTTGTGTTTTCTCATATATTGCATTGTACTCCTCGGGGGAAAGAGCGTTTAAAGGACCAAACACTTGGGCTTTCATCTGATACTTGTCCTGTCAGAAGAATGGATCATCATCATTCGCAATTCAACGAATACTATACTATTCATGAATTATTACTTACTACGCCTAAAGAAACAATAGAAAGGTCGAAGACACATCTTTTGAAATATCTCCATAAAATACCTACGTATCCTTCTTTCAAGATGGCGAAGATTTCTTCGTCTGTAAACTGACTAGAGTGTGGAAGCATGTCATTTAATGCACCCACTAAATTATCTATCACATCGTCATATAAAGTTGGATGAAAAACCTCCACTTCCGGTGAAGCTATTGGACAGGGATCAGAGTCTAACAAAAGTATGTTCTCAGTGTTGGGTATTTCCATTTCCTCACTGAAAAAACAATCTGGATTCAGCAGATCTGTTAACTCATCCGATACATTGTGTGTAGAAAAGTTAGAGAAATCTAAGAGTCTGTCTGCTAGAGACCGATCATCTGAGATGTCGGACAGTGCTTGTTGTCTATTGCAATCGGGAGAAATCGGAACCTGCATGCAGGACTGGGATTCTTCAACTGAAATTCTCTGGGTTCTCTCTGCATTTTTCTGTGATACAGCAGCACTAACAATGTCGAAGGCTTTTTGGTCAAATTGCAATTCTGGGTTCTGCAGACGTTTTACTTCCATGATGGCTTTTGTTCTTTCTGTGAGAGTGTATCTTCCTTGTCGAATACCTGTTGAGAATGTTTCATAACATGGTAACATATTCTCATACTCATCGACCTAAACTTTAAATTTTATAATGGTCGACAGGAGATGCTTACTCCTCCATAACATCAGATCCCACCTCTAATGTTCTTAGAGGTCCGTGTTTGCTCCTCCCAATTTGTATTGTTTCAATGGACTTTTGAGCTTCATTACTGTTCGTTATCTTCATATTTCATAAATGAAGCACGCTACAGTGTAACTTATTCTTTGTTTGGCATTAAAAATAGATTTTAAATTGTCCAAAATAGATCATTGACCTTTTTATGTAAAAACTAGAAAAGTGGCTGGGCACATCTCTTATTGCAAGTATTGCTATTAAATAGCTTTCTATGATATTTTGAATAAGCAAAACTGTTGAACAAACGTAAATTAATGTTGTTACTCGTACCTTCTTTTGACATTCCTAGATCCAAGCACTTTTTCATCCGACATGCTGAACAGTTACCCCGGTGACGATCCGTTATTTCACAATTTCCGCCATGACTGCACTTATAAGGCTCTTTACGAAGAAGGTATCGTCTGAAGAAACCCTACAGAACAGTTAACCTCAGGTTAAATATGACTCAGAATCCGTCTTCAAATGGAATTTCAAAAATTCTACATCACTTATATTATAGATTCTGACGTACTCAAATTTTTACCACTATCAGTATTCTCTTCGTTTATGAAAATTTTCAAATTTGAAACAAAATTTATATATAGACAAAAATAATTATGAATATCTTTCGCCTCTGTCCCAAAGAAATTGGCTGGTTTAGACAACATTTGTATGCGGCAAAATTTCGGAATACACAACATCCGGATTAGACAAGTTTCACTGTTAGTTCCTTTCAATAAATTTATTTGCTTGAAATGTTGACTAATCCTGAATGTTGTCTTATCCTGCCAATTTCTTTGGAACCAGTGGTGTCCAGATTAGACATGTTTTACTGTACATTGATTCAGAAAGATATAAGTACCTTGCAAGCCTCACAACTGTTTACCCCGTAGTGAATCCCTGACGCCTTTGCTCCACAGACTCGGCATGGCGGGAGCTGAAGTGGAGTGCCCTTGGGAATGTATGGGTAATCCGATTTTTTCTTCTTAGGTGGAGTACACGATTGTTCAAAATGACCTGTGTCAAAATCGAAGTCGGTCCCAACACTTATGTCCCGTGTACTCATAGCTGCAGTATGTTTGAAAAGCTTGTTTAATTTTGGGTCAGCATTCAAGGAATTCCCAGAATCTAAAGAGGATAAAAGACACTTCCTTATAGAATTAATTCCTTTACAACTGTATGCGGATTGCGTATGGTGTATGCTTTCAAATATGACTTTTCATTTGATATTCATCCATGCTATCGGTCAATATATGCAAACGACGTGCATTTATCTACAAAATGTAATGTCTGGGATAACCAGACTGTACTACTAGTATTCGAGAAAAGGTGGACTATCTTTATCTTAAAGATAACAAGAAACCTTGATATTTTTATTTGTTTTTTTATGCCCCCGTAATCGAAGATTCGGGGACATATAGATTTTTGATCTGTTTGTCCGTCTGTCTAGCTGTCTGTCTTTGTCCGCAAAAACTTTGACTTTGGCCATAACTTTTGGTTTTTAAGAATTAGGGGTTTCATATTTCCCATGTGTATACCTTGTGACAAGACTTTTCTTTGGCACCTTGACCTTGTTTTTTGACTCACTATTGCAAAAATTAAAAAAAAACTTTAACCTTGGCCATAATTTTGGAACGGTTGGTGAAAGGGCTTTCGACTTGTTTATTCCTTTCCTTAGATACCAACAATTTTGACCTCGACCATCAAGGTTGAACAAATTTTGAAAAATGTTAACCTTGGCCCTAATGCTAGGGCTTTCTTGGTCACATGTGTAGTCAATGGAACAAAACCTTTTCTTGGGTTCAAATATTTTTGACCTTGGAGTTTGACCTACATTGTACCTTAACCATAAGTTTGAACATTTGGTGCTAGAGCTTTCATATTTCACATGTGTTTTCCTTGCGATAAGAACTTTCTTTGGATACCAACAACCTTGACATCTGATCTTGACCTTAGGGTTTTATTTAAATTTGGAAAGCTTTACCTTGGCCATATCTTTTGAGCGGTTGTTACTAGGGCTTACGTGTGTATTTGTCACAAGACCTTTACTTGGGTACAAGTAATAGCTTTTCAAAAAGCTTGCCTGACTAATCTATCAATAACTATGGAACCTATAAGCAAGAGAGGTGCTAAACGTTTCCGTCATCAAGGATCGACATAGTTGCGATACTTCATTACACAAGATGTACAATTGACTTTCTCACTCATAACCAAATACTGCAGATTAACGAATATCTAAGACATGCCACTATTCAATCATTTATTAGTTAGCCCACGGGCTGACAAGTTACGTTGGGATGAAACTCTAACTTTAAGTGCGTAGATTATAATTTTGGGGAAAATAGTTAGATGATTCTAAAGAAATTAATATTACATGTACTCTCTTACTAGAGGGCGCACTTCTCTGGTCAGTGATAGATTGATGAGACGGCCTCTTTTTATAGACTGGTCTGTTTTCCGTCGTTCTCGACGTCGAAGTAAATTATCAACAGTTTTAACTGCCTTTTCTTGAAGTGTTTGAGACAAAAATTCTAAAATGCTGCTCTAGAACTCAAAGTAAATGGACTGTACACTTTATAGCTAGAGCAAAACAAGATACTAATAACACCCCCCCCCCCCCCCCCCCCCCCGGACGAAACTCACGCGCTGATGGTCTTACCATATACATGTATTATAAATGAGTTTAAAAATACATCTTTATGTGCAGTTTTGAAATTGTTTAGTTTTTCTTTTCAATCGATTTCAGGACCTTTCTCATAATTATAATAACGTGCTATTATATGAAATGAAAACTAGTACAGATCATGATGTCTTCTTCATTTTGCCGATTCTTTATTCTTTGCTTAGAACCTTACGGGAGTTAAGCCCATTCCTCTATGGGTACTGACCTACTATATTGTCACTATCCTTGTTCATCACAAAGCATTAAATAATATGCTACTGGCTGACTTTGTAAGCTTTTTTAAAAACCTAACCTTGTAACGTACATTATAAATAAATGTAATATTGAAAGTAAAGGTGGGAAACAGACTGAATCAAGAAGGGATGTCCCATTTACTAGGTCGAGGGAGTTTGCTTATGATTGGACTAGTTCACTTACGGAATAAATAGTAAGAATAATCAGCAAATCCATTGCTTTAGTGTTGCCTGCCCATATACAATGTGTTCTTATAGAAATGAGATAAAATTTACTGTTAATAAAAAATCTGAAGCTTAAGAATCAGGTTAAAAGAATAAACGTTATTTTATCACACCCATTCAATAGAACAATCCAAGAAAAAGGCGCGAAGACAATTTACATGTGACATTTGTCGCGAAATTATTGTGTCACCCCTTTTGTAGAAGGCAAATGGACTGATCCAGTAGTTTAGAAACGGAGAAAAAATGTTACACGGACATGCCCGTACAAAGAATCGCAAAGAATAAACATGTGCATGCCAAAAAAACTGAAGGAATTAAACACATCATTATTTTGCATCAGTAATACGATTATTTCTTCAGCATACTGTATTTGTTTAAATGCAGGTAACAAATTCCAGTGTAAATCAGCTTCCAGAAAATCTAGTTCATTAAGAATGATCGCTTAGTTTCGGATCTTGAAAAAATTAATCCTTATACTGCCTGACGCACGTGGCGTCAGGCAATAAATATTTTTTACCTTACCTTTTTTTTTACCATAAGTTTGGAGTTAAACCTACTTTTGAAAAACATTAATCTTACCCATAGGAGGCAGGATTTCATATTTCACACGTGTATTTCTAGGGACAAAAGCAATGATTTTAACATTTTTACCTTGACTTTGGGTTTGGTCTGCTTTTGAAAAACCTTAACCTTGGCCATAACTTTTGATTGGTTTGTGCTATGGCTGTCGTGTTTGACAGGTGTATTCCTTGTGAGAAGGCATTTTCTCAAGTACCAATATTTTTTTTTTTACCTCATTACGTTAACCTTGGAGTATCAACTACTTTTAAAAAGCTTCACCTTGGAAAATAATTTCTGAATGAATGCGGCAAGAGTTGTCATATTTTATAGGTGTATTCCTTGTGACAAAAGCTTAAGTCTGTTTTAGTACCAACATTTTTTATCTCTGGACCTTGACCTTGGAGGTCGATTTACATTTAAGAAACTTTAACCCTCGTCATTAGCTGCCATAGGGGGCCTTCGAGGGTTTCACAAACACATCTTTTTTTTCCTTTTGTTTCTCTTTAAGTGAAAAAAATAGTCAGACTGTATAGAAAACCCTTACAATTTAATTCAGAAGAATAATTTGTCAAAAGATATGTGCATTTTGAATATTATGGCAATTTGAACATCTTCATGTATTTACGAAACTTGACTCAATAATAAACAGGGAAAAGAAACAAACAATAATAAAAGAAAAACATACAGCGAGTTGATTTTAAAGTTTGAATTAAAACAAAAATGCAATCAGTAACCTTTTTAATTTTAACATGCCTGTTTTTTCCGAAGTTACATTTACGCTTTGCAAGTGTACATTTCATGTTCCAAAATGCGTTTGATAAAGATTAATATTTTACATGATTTGTGACATTTCCTTTATCCAACTAAAAAGATTTATCTTTTGAAAGTGAACTTTAAGTCATTGACACTTAGCCCCTGTTACTGCAAGTCCCATGACCAAATAGCTATACATAGGCTTATTCTGTATGGTTTAATTATTCTGGCGCCATATGAGATAGAATCCAAACATTTTCCAGTAACCATTATACATGTTTATTCCTGATATTTTGAAGACGCCATTGTCCTGCCTCTCGTACACAGCAAACTATACGTGTTTCGTTTAAGAATGAAGTGTTAATTACTATATATTAATGCGTTATTCTTGTGCCATCTCATTATAAAGCTTGAACAAAATTTGAATTTCTATTGACGTATCTTGCAAAGTTAATTCCCGTTTTGCTATCTAAAGATAGTAAATGATCAAGAGATGTCGTTGATGATGAAAATTTAATCTCCGGGGTTCCTTTTCTCAAAGCCTTCATGAAACGCGAAAATAGTTGGCCACATTAATTTAAATATATACCTGCATGCAAAATAAAACTACTTCTGCCTCATATTTGTACTGTCATAATAGATAATCCTGTGTCATGCAAAATGAGAACAGGAAAAGACAGGCATGGAATATCTTATCATTTGAGTCTATAATTGTACTGTGAATGATATGTGTGTGAAGGGTCAATATAAAGTGCAGGTTCATATTATTTAGAAATTATTGAACTTATGCACGAATAAAAATTCATTAATTACATGTATATCTACTAGATAGCCGATTAATTCGAAGGCTAAAAATGTTCAAGTAATCAAATTAAATTATTTCTGAAAGAGAGAAAAAAGTAAAAAAAATTCTAAATGCATGTATTCCTAATTCATTAATCAGAAAATGTACAAAATAATATTCCAAATGTACGGGATTACTGCAATCTGTCAGTGGACTTTGTACCACGTCAAATGAATATTTGGAACATATTGTTTCAATGTGCAGAATAGAATGGAAAGAAAAAATTAGAAAATTAAAAGCATAAAATCGTGCAATTAATGTTGTAAATGCTGCATTAAAAACTCACCTAGTTTCACCTGCACAGGTAAATTTTCTTTGTCCTAGGTTCTCACCCTCTGCCTACTGCCTACCTGACCTAGAAAAAGCGAGGCCAAGATAATGAAAATACTGTTTATTCACTGTCATCTAAAAGTGCGTTAACTTAATGCATGAGCATGCATTTCCAATTATAGAAATTCAGAATATAGAACAATAAGTTTAGACAGTCAAAGAAAGCAAAATTCTATATATGCTGAAAATCATCATTAAATAATACATTAAGTTTTATTTACCTGAACTGGAAAGTGTTTAAACTGGGACATATATGTAGTAGAGTTAAACCATCAATGTTTGTCCTTCGCTGATCCAGATTACATTGATAAAGCAAGTACTAAGTTCATCAGCGTTGTCTTTAGATAGGCAACACAAGTATTCTTACGTTGAAGATGGGGATAATTTCCACATCTCTCATACACCTAGAAAACAAATTTTCGCTTTTTCGGTTTCTCCGTTAAAAACAAACTAGAGGTGCTCTGAGCAGTGAGCTCACAAAATGATACCCCGCTCCAATATGAGTAGCAAAGTTACGAAGTGCGAGGTCGATATGCTTCTCTGTGA